CAATGGAATATTACTCAGCCATAAAAAGAAACAAAATTGAGCTATTTGTAATGAGGTGGATGGACCTAGAGTGTGTCATACAGAGTGAAGTAAGTCAGAAAGAGAAAGACAAATACCGTATGTGAACACATATATATGGAATTTAAAAAATGTCATGAAGAACCTAGGGGTAAGACAGGAATAAAGACACAGACCTACTGGAGAATGGACTTGAGGATATGGGGACGGGGAAGGGTAAGCTGTGACAAAGTGAGAGAGTGGCATGGACATATATACAGTACTAAACGTAAAACAGATAGCTAGTGGCAAGCAGCCGCATTGTACAGGGAGATCAGCTCGGTGTTTTGTGACCACCTAGAGGGGTGGGATAGGGAGGGTGGGAGGGAGGGAGATGCAAGGGGGAAGAGATATGGGAACATATGTATATGTATAACTGATTCACTTTGTTATAAAGCAGAAACCAACACACCATTGTAAAGCAATTATACTCCACTAAAGATGTAAAGATGTAAAGAAAAAAAAGTTCAAAAAAAAAGATACTAGAAAACGAAAATCATATTAAAGCTAAAGCAAAAAAAAAAGAAATAAGATCAATGAAGAAATCAATATGACTGAAAAAGAAGATAGAAAATCAGTGAAATCCAAATCTGTTTCCCTGAGAAGACCAACAAACTCAATAATCTTCTAGCCAAACAGATCAGAAAAAAAAAATAAAGATGCAAATTTCCAATGTCAGAAATGAGAGAGGCGATACCACTAAAAATTCTACACATATTAAAAGGAGAATAAGACAATATTATGAACAACTTTATGCCAATAAATTCACAACTTTGGTGAATTTGAAAAAAAAAAAGAAAAGAAAAGGGGATGAATTTTAACTTCAAAGAGCTCAGTGATGAGTTAGCACTGCTTTTGCCCACAGTGGGCATTTGCTGAGCAAGATAATGAAGCTTCTAGGCAGACCTTCTCTTTCAGCATGCGGAATGAAAATAACCCACCTGAAGACAACTAACCCTGAGAGGGGTGTGAGAGCATAAGCAGTCTCCACTTGCAAAAGGTAAAAGCTGTCCTGATGAATTAAGTATCAATTAAGGCAAGGAGATAGAAGGAAAATTCAGAGAAATGTTGATGTGGGAGAGTTTTCTCATCATAAAGCAGAACCTCTAGTGAATACAGCAAAAATGCTTCAGAGGAGTGAAGCATGGAGATTGAAACCTGAGGTAGAATTTCTGGATGTGAGATGTCTTCTAGTTTACATCCTATGTCATATGCACGACCCATATCTACCAGAATTTATTAGACACCTGTGTGAAACCATTCCATGTGACAGATATCCTCAATTCTGTAACCTTCATATTCTATCTGTTCACCTGTGCCCATGCCATTCACCCCAATTCTACCACTGTATGTACATCTCACTGAAACTGTCCTATGCCCTCCAGCTCAGCAGTTGGCCCAAAAATTCAGCACAGAGAACCAAAATGTATGTTTCTGTGTAGTGCTGTACTCATTCTAATGCCATTACCAGTATGAGTGCCTGGCGCATCTAAGGAGGTATGGGGCAGGGAAGTATATGTAGGAACTTACCTGCCACCTCAGCAAAGTTCCAAATGTTAGGGACTTATATCAGGAAAATCAGTGAGGGAGAAGAGGAGAGTAAAACCTGCCAAGAACTGTCCTTAGATTCCATTCTCTACAACCATGGCCACAAAGCCTCTACTCAAACCTCCCCAGCCGAATTCTTGTGATTGGGAAAACATCAGCTAGTTTTTCAATGAAATCAACATTCTTTTCCTCTCAGATCAGGGCAATACTGGGTCCAAATTATAACATTATAACAATAGGCTGGAGTAACTCTCCAGTTTGCCAGCAATTGCACATCTAGGAATTTACTTTGAAAAAATTTTTAGAGATGTGGGCAAAGATTTATTGATAAATGTATACTACAGTCCTAACTACATAGAATAATTAAAAACAAGCAATATGTTCAACAATACAGAAATGTTTAAATACATTTTGGTACATCTGTAAAATGGAATCATGTAAAGCCATTAAAATCATGTAGGATAATATTTTCTGTCCTGTGCTAAGTTTTAAAATATATTTTCTAAGTGACAAAGAACGATTTAAAAAATAGTATGTATCTTGTAATAAATTTGAAAATTACATTCTCTCTCTCTCTTCCTCTTTACCACTTCTCTCAACCCCTCAACCCACCCTCATCTATCTATCTCTGACTAGGTTGGAAAGGCTTATGCCACCATATTAAAAGTAGTTATCTCCAGATACTATTTTTAATATAGTAGTATTACTATATTAAATAGTAATGTGGGTGATTTTTTCTTGTCAATGTTTGTTAAGTTTTCTGCACACAGTATAAAATCATTTTATAATTTATGAAAAATATTATTTCATTAAAAAATGAATAGATTTCCTGTGGCAATTGGTCACAAATACTGTTTGAAAACCCTTGATCCATCTTCTTTAATCAGACCTTAACCTTTCCAGTTGAATTATATGAACAGATGGTTTTGGAGACTGCTCTATGAACTATTAAAATGAAGCAAAAATGACCATTCTAAAATGTACATTCCAGAGATGGTTAACTATAGTAAGGAACAAGTATAATATAACCTACAATGTTATTTTCTAGGATAAAATCATTGGTAAAGCCCCCCTGCCCCTTGTATCCCAAGTATTGTTAATAAGGACCAATAGATTTTGTTTATATATGAATTTATGGGGAAATTTTTCACTTAGGTTAATACATCTGTATTTAAAAGAAATGAAACACCAGGAATTGTCTTCCCATTTCTCAAATTTCCTGATAAGATCCACTGGACTCATTGCTAATCCTGTCTGCCACTCAGTTTTCTGGAGATATTAATTTTGTCATATGCGTATGTAGAATACATAGAAGAGTTTTCCTTTCTTTCTCTTTATGTTTTTCATCAATTCAAAATAAACTATAGGTCCAAATAGAATATATATTGACCACTGAGAGGTGGTAGGTTAGATTATGTTATTATATGGCAAATTATGCCCATTATGCCAAATCACAAACTGAAGGAAGATTTTCCTGTTCTGTGGTCTAAGAAGCACAATAACAGTCACCTTGATGTTGACCATGATGAGGGTGGCTAGGTCACCCTGACTTACTTCAGCCTGATCATTTGTATAAAGATTTTGATTTGCATCTAATAAAGGTAAGAGTTGGACAGATGGAGAAGGCAGAAAAGTATGACGATGTGGGGAAAAGGCAAAGAAAGGAACAGGAAGAGCAAAGGCATGGAAATGGTAATAAGTATGGTTATTGCAGTGGGGAGTCACCAATGATTATTCAAGGAAGTTAGTTTGGGGGAGCAATCGGTAAGACTGTATGGATAGTGTAGGGCCAGATTACGGTGGGAGCACTTTAGAAACATAATCTAGCAATGGAAACCTTTTTTTTTTTTTTTTTTTTTTTTTTTGCTGTGTGCGGGCCTCTCATTGTTGTGGCCTCTCCCGTTGCGGAGCACAGGCTCCGGATGCACAGGCTCAGCGGCCATGGCTCACGGGCCCAGCCGCTCCACGGCATGTGGGATCTTCCCAGACCGGGGCACGAACCCATGTTCCCTGCATCGGCAGGCGGACTCTCAACCACTGCGCCACCAGGGAAGCCCTGGAAACCTATCTTAAGTATTTCAGCCTACATTGTCTTTAGTGACACATGAAACTGATATTTTAGGAAGAAAAATAGCTAACAATTATTGAGTACTTTCCCTGTTACAGGCAGTGTATTAAAATGATATTTAAGAGGGTGGCCTTTGGAGTTGGTTGGATTTGAAGACCAATCTTAACTCTGGAATTTACTAGCTAAATAACTTTAGGAAAATTATTTTCCTGGGTTTGTTTCTTCATCTGAAAAATTGATGTGATAATATCCACCTCTTGAGGTTGTTGTATGGATCACAGAGTTTGGAGAAGGGAGAATCTGTGAACAGGGAACAGTTAGGAAGCTGTTACAATTACTGAACCTAGACAAAGATGATAAATCACTAGAATGGAGAGGGAGGACAAACTTCAAAGTAAAGGTAAAGAAGTAGGGCAGGCGACTGACACCCTTTCTCCACTCTCATTCATCTTGCAAGTTCCTTATTTCTGTTCATTTGACATAATTCGGGAAGGTGAAATTACACTTTTGAAGTATATGGTCCCTCTCTGGGCATTACCAATTGTTTGCTCATTTCCCTAGAGCTACAAATAACCATTTGCTCTCTCTGTTCACCATTTCCACATCTCCTGCAACATATGATACAAACTCCCTTTCCACAGTCAGTTAGAAAGCAAACAAAACGTAACAGAAATCTTTCACGTTCTTACACTGTATTTTCCTTTTTTTTTTTTTTTTTGATTTGCAGTTTCTTCCTCCATTCTTGAGTTTGCCAGTCAATCAGGTTTCCTGCAAATTCTCACGGAAACAGGATTCCGTAATTTAACAAAAAGCAAAACTCAAAAAACCAATCCTGCTGTTTCTGGGCTTTGGGAAACTTGATACTTTTCCTAAACCTTCCAAGGCAGCGCTCAGTGCTTCAAGGTCCAATTCCTGCCACCAGCTAACATCAGAACAATCACTACGTAATAGGAGTCTTAAAATGCACGAGGCTTTGAGAACTTGGTCTTTATCACTAGTGTCTGGATTCAACGCAGAACTTCCTCTTTTAAAGAAGACATCTTATTTGCATACACTTCTGAGCAGGAAGTTACACGCAGAACTTCATCGCAATCTAATTTAATTCAACGCTCTCTCTTTCTTTTTCTTTCTCCTTTCCCTCTTCTCAGAGAGGGAATGGTCAAAAATAAATGTTTCAACAGATCTCGCGGTGCTATTCGAGATTCCCAATTAAAAAAAAAAAATTAGAAATGATGTAAACGAGCCTGTGCCTTCCGGGGTTTGGGGCTGGGACTGCCGCCCTCTGAGCACAGTGAAAGCAGCCAAGAGAGGAGGCGGGGCTCTGGCGAGTTCCCCTTCCACCTTCCCCCACCCTTCTTTCCCAACCTCTGTAAGGCCCCTAGCTTGATTCCAGCCTTTGCTGCAGCTGCTCTCCAGGCGTTTGCAGGACTCAAACAACTACAGCCGCTGTTCCCAACCAAGATGGTGATCCGTGTGTATATTGCATCTTCCTCTGGCTCCACGGCGGTAAGGAGGGTGGGAAGCCCACCTTTGTTGTTTTTCTACACATCAGTCTCCTGCTGCCCCAGAACCGTTAAATTGCAGAAGTTAGTCTGGCAGTTTCTCCTTCGTTAGACACCCGCATTTCTCACCCCACCCCCTTCTTCCCTTTCTTCTCTTTGTTGCATCGATTTCATTTTTCCATGGAGTTTAGCTTTGTTTGCCTAGTGATGTTAGTCCCACATTTCTTCTCTGAAGAAAAAAGAAAGCTACCGAGTTTTGGTAAATGGGAGATGGTGGTATAGGGTCTTTGGGGTTAGGTGAAGAAGTCAAGAAAGTCTCACACTGGTAAGTTTCAAGAGTGGGACATTTCACATATTTGCTGTAGGTAGTGAGGCAGGGGCAGGGCACATCTGTAAAGGATGTAAAACATGCTGTTAATGATGATGACTGAGCGGAGGCCTACTGAGGCACTGTGATTATATTTCACAGAGTGAGACCCTTGTAATCAAATAGTTATATTTTGCCACTGTGTAGGAGGGGGTATTTAACTTCAGCCTAAAGAGTCTGTTAGAACTAGACAGAATGGGAGCGGAAGTTGGGAACAATGATATAAAGTTGTGGGTTTTCTTTTTAAACAATGTAACAAGGGACCTGTTTTTCCCTTCCATATTGTCCCTTATTTTGACCTTTTCTTTTCTTTCAAAAGATGCTACTTCAAACAGTTTCTAACTGCTTCAAATACATTGAGAACTGGAAGGGAACTAACAAGTGCCTTCTTGTGTATTTGCGGATTCCAATGGTGGCTTCTTCAAATGATAGGGAAACCCTCTCTCATCCCCCGTGCTCTTAATTTAGAATAACAATTTTCACCAGTTGTGGGGAGAAATAGGCTAAGCTGGGGTGAAAGCAGAGTGTATATTCATGGTAAATGAAAGTGTCTCTGTGTTTCACAGCTCAGGAGAAAAGCCAACAGTGGCAAGAGCAGATGTGTGGGATCAGAATGTAGAATGTATGAACCCCCTCCCTCTTCTGAGCTTCAGAGCAGCAGCTATCCCATGTTTTCTGTTGTTGTTGTGTTTTCGTTTTTGTTTCGTTTACCCCCTAAGAGGGTTTGGAATAGAACTGAAAGTTGCGTGAAATCACAAGGAGCTTGAACCTTCAACTTGTCTTCTCTGGCTACCACTTGTGGGTGTGTTTAGACAGTTTTGAAATAGAATACTTAAAGTTACACTTTTGGAGCAAGTTTAGGTTGGAAAAAATAAAACTTTTTATATTGTCTTTGAACTTCACTTTATGAGCCTCTTGCCTTATTATTTTCCATATATATTATGATATTTAAAATAATGTTAAAGCTGCCCAGGGTCTCAATTCCAATAAAATAATTGTAAAATTTAAAACATCAGCTTAATACCTTTAGTTAAATCCCTAATTAGGTTGGGCAGATCAGGAAGCTAGTTTTGGTGATTTCACTTTGGGTGACATGCAGTTTCAGTACTGCTATTTATTCTTTGCTTTCTTGCTCTTCTACCCCTCCCTGAAAAGCAGATTCAAGATGAAACTCCTTTCAGAATTTCTATTCAAATAAGAACAACTATACCTCTCTCTTTGTTAAGACTTAAGTTTCTTAGGGCCTTAAAAATGACTACTGTCTCCTACTATGTACATTATTAGATTCCATTGTTGAAGACTATGCAAATAAAAAATATTTATGCTTTTTTTGTTTTGTTTCAATTGTTTTTCTTATGGGTAATTATAAATTTGTTTGTTGTTGCAGTAATTATAGTTCCTATGAACCTGATATCAAAGTTCTACTGCGTATTGCCAAAATAAATTCTTATTGTATTATAATCTTATAGTACTTTTAAATAATATTAAAACAGGATAAAATGAGTATACTTCAGAAGAGCTCCTTTGTAACATAAATGGGGACTCTTCAGCTTGCAATACTAAGGTTTTTTTCCTTTAAGAAAGCTGTCATGTTGTTTTTAACATACGGTTTAGAAATTTTGGGGCAAACATCCTAACACGAATCCAGCAATTGTACAAAGTGAGATGTTCTATAAGTGACTAAGTGTAGTTTTCTGAAGAGCATTTAAAAGAAAGCTTTTGGTTTTGGATTGTGAATCTTTGACTATTTTCTTACTCCTGCTAGTGATTTTCATAAAAATAACCAATACTAGATATTGTATCAGGCAAGGGAGGATCTATGATGATTGCAACTTAGTGTGACCTTAAGACTCCCTTTCCTTCATAGACCAATTAAAAAAAAAACAAAACTTTTCAAACTTGTACTCAACTCTGCCCTAATACAGAGGTATAGCACTTGCTTCTCAAAAGTTTATAAATGAGGGCTTCCCTGGTGGCGCAGTGGTTGAGAGTCCGCCTGCTGATGCAGGGGACACGGGTTCGTGCCCCTGTCCGGGGAGATCCTACATGCCGCGGAGCGGCTGGGCCCGTGAGCCATGGCCGCTGAGCCTGCGCGTCCGGAGCCTGTGCTCCGCAACGGGAGAGGCCAC